TGGTTACAAAACGATTTGATTTGTATCGAATAGTTGTTACAGTAGCATATTTTTTAGTTGGTAAACCATACCCAAATCTAACGAACGATACATTGAATGAACCGGGATTAAGCACCACCAACTTGAGCTGCCTAAAGCTGACTTGAATGTTCCCAGGGGGATTAGCAATCGTGTATTGTTTTTCCTCAGTTCGTGTGGAATCGTTGGGAGTTTCGAAACGAATAATCAATGGATACGATGCCCAGGAGAGAAATTATCCGTGGGCAGTTTCACTCAAAGGCATTCATCCGAAAACTCGAGCTATCACATTCTGCGGAGCGACAATCATTGATCGGACATGGTTATTGTCGGCTGCTCACTGCTTCTGGACAACCAAAGAGAAAAATCAGTAAGTTTATCTGATCTATTATTACTGTCATTATTATCATTGAAAGCAGTCGTATATTGACTAGTGAAGTTTAATTCAGCCCCCCCCCCCACCATCTTTCGTAATCATATCATTACCAATGTAACCATTAAATTTATCACCAATTTCAACAAGCTTTTCATCCTCATCATTATCATCATCATCATCATTGTCTTCAAAGATTTCTACCAATTCATGAATATCGTTGGTATTCACAATGTCATTCCTGTTAATTTTTCATTGTCAATCATTTTTACCTTACATCAAATTGACGCTTGTGGTTAAGCGTCGTATCCGAATTGCCAACTATAACGTCACAAAGTGTCCTTAGCTCATTTAGTTGGCCCGTATAATCAAGAAGGATTAAACCCCAGCTTTGCTCTTCCGGGACCGCATATTCTCAATCAAATATGAGACTTGAACCCCAGACTTCCTGAATGAATAGGTGTGTGAATGATTTAACTCTTTACAAACCATAGTTAATACCAGATCGGATCGGAACAACTGACACAATTATGAAGAAAGCAAAAAGAAACCATTAGTTAATTACGAAATGCTTTAGATGCATATTGTCGGGTACGTACAGCTCAAATCATAATAGTTTGTACATCACGTGCTATGAGTTGTATTATATTGAATTGTAATGATTTGTGCAAGCAATTATGTCTGTTTCTCAGTCAGAAAAAAAACAGTGCGTTCACCGTTATAGTGAGATGAAACTTAAGCAAGAGTTCATCTCTGTAGGTCTATAATTAGTTCGTTTCGAATCTTCACCTTGTCAGTGAGAATATGCGCCAGATATGGATCCGTTGAGTCGCGATAAATGTTTATGCGGGAGAGTAGGCAACAAAAATTGGATCGAGTCGTAGCGTGGAAACAGCAGGCAGATAAATCCGGATAGAGTGGATTCCTGGGGTCATGGAGTATCTTATGAGTGAAATTCTCGCATGAAGTAATATGAAAATTAAAGAAATAACAGAAACACGGTTGATAATTAATCAACCCCGATGAAGAGTAATGAAATCCTTTTGAAGTAGTTAAGGGTAAATAACGGACCAACAATAAAGTATAACTGGGGAAAAATGCGTTGATTACCAAAAGAGTATAATTTCATGCTTCACTCTAAATTGTCGTAGCCTGCGTATCTGGAATGACAAGCGACGCACTCTACCAACACAAGCTGGCACATGAGAGCACCGCTGTAGATTATTCTTTATGGTGACCCCTAGCTAGATATTTGGTAGTATATGTTCTAGTGATGGGTAAGGAATTGATGACTGAGGGTTCCAAATGATATTCAGATCTGAACTGACTAAAAATAGTTTAGCAATATTTAGAAGCAATAAATGCCCTGTAGGTTTTTAATGATGGAGGTTCAGTCTTGAGTTCTGAGTTAACAAAACTCCTGAGCTCAGTGTGGGAGAGCGAAGAGGTTCCAGCTGAATGATGTGAATCGCTGATCATACTGATTTACAAGAAAGGTGACGGTTTCTCCTGTGAAAAATCACAAATGACTTAGTTTAATCAACATCATATCTAAACTTCTCGCCGGCATCATACTTCGACGATTGTCTGCCGCACGTAAAGAGTGCACGCGTGAGAACCAGGGTGTTTTTAGACCCAGTCGAGATTGTACCGACTACATCTTCACTCTTTGCCAAACTCTGTAGCATCGACACTCTTTTTGTAGACCCATCATCTCAGTTTTCCTGGATCTGAAAGCGGCTTTCGACTCAGTCGACCGCTCTGAACTCTGGCGCTGCCTTTTCCTGAAAGATATGCCCGAGAATTTAAGTTCAATATTACGATCGCTTCGTACTAATAGCCGAATTCGGATCCGGGCTGACGGCATCTTTTCGCCCGAGTTCACCACGGAAAGTGGTGTTCGACAGGGTTGCCTTCTCTCGCCGCTTCTATTTAACTTTTTTATGGATTTAATTATAGAAACAGCCAGATCCTCGTGCGAGGATAGTGGCATAGATTTACTTCCAGGTGGCAGACTGTTTGATCTGGAGTATACAAACCACATTGTGATGCTAAGCAATGACAGAGGTAAGTTGCAAGCTTTATTGGACAGCTTGAATACCAGCGTAGCCATGTTCGGTATGCGTTTTACACCTTCTAAGTTCAAAATGTTACTACAAAACTGGGTTGGTCTAGCGAACAGCCTCACTCTAACTGGGGAAGTAATAGAGCAGGTGGATAAGTTTTGTTATCTGGGCAGCTACATCTCACCCGGTGGACGCATCACGGATGAAGTGTCAGCTCGCATACAGAAGGCTCGGTTGGCATTTGCTAACTTCAGACATCTGTGGCGCCGTCGCGACATCCGGCTGTCTGTGAAGGGTCGAGTGTATGCCGCGACAGTTCGGCCAGTTCTGCTATACGGTGCAGAAACTTGGCCATTAAGAAAACAAGATAAAGACAGACTGTCGGTGTCTGAACACCGCTGTCTACGCAGCATTGCACGAATCTGGTGGGATGGCCGGATGAGCAATGCTGAGGTTAGGGACAGAGTTTTGGGTAAATACGGTCACCCACTGGAGCAAGTGGTCGGCCTTCATAGATTACGTTATTTGGGACATGTGTTATGCATGTCACCAGATAGGTTGCCACGGCGAACGATGTTCGCCTAGGCTGTTAGTGGGCCAAAAGAAAGTCAAGGGTGCTAAGACCTGGAATAAGGATGTGAAATCCCTAGCCAGAGGACTGGGTCACATAGGTCTGGTTAGGTTTCCCAGATGAAGACCTCGGGATGATCATAACCGATAGTTAACGACAATGAGTGATATGGCTGAATGTCCTAAACAGTGGCGTTTGTGCATCTTCTCTACTTCTCTGTACCATTAGTTCACTGAACTTTTCAATTTTCTTATCGATCCTGTCTTTCTCCTAATGTTCATCCAAATGCTCAGCCATTAAGAGACAGCAACCAAAACTGGCGCACAATAGTGCATAGTTAATGGTTGTACAAACTGAAGCTGGAACTGAGAGGCATTCAACTGAAAACCGGATAGGTTCGTGAATGATTACATTTGTGATAAACTATTGGAAAATGATTCTATGTCCAACTGGTTTGAAATATCTTGACGTAAGACTACATCATCTGCATTCCTAAAGATCTAGGCTGGTTAGATAGAAGATACAGCACATCCTGAAGGATTCCAGAATTAGTCACTAACGGTTTTGAAGTTGTACCGTTTACATTCGTTCTTTGAATCCTTGATGTGAAATAATTTTTCAACTACGAAAATAATTTGGCGAAGCAACCGAAGAAAAAAAATCATGAAATGGACTTGAAACCGAAAGAATACAACAAAGATTTGTAAATAAAGTGCGTCGTCATGGAGATCGCATCCAATGTGCACCTGTTTGATTTATACGCAAAAGGAGGTAATTGAGAATAAAACTACCAGACTGTAAGAGTAAGAGTGAGAATAGCGCACTCTACTATTTTAATCTCAAATGAATGGGTCAATGAGGCGAATTGCACTGGTGAAGTTTTGTAGTTTTAAGCAGATGATAGAGCTCATCATGGATGACTGAGTATACGCTAGGTAGATAGGTAATCTGTGAGGTATGGATAGAGATAATCTAAAATATAACAGTTTCAGTTTGTACAACCATTAACCATGTACTACTGTGCACCGCTTTTGCTCGCTGTCTTTTGGCTGCCCATTTGGATGAATAATAGGAGAAGAAAGGAAAGTGGAAAGTGGAGTCGAAAAGAAAATGGAGAAGTTCAGTGGACTAAGGTTGGGAAGAAATTGAGGAGATGCACAAACGCCACTGTTTACGACACCCAGCCATATCGCTCAGTGTAGCTAACCATCGGTTACGATCATTCCGAGGTCCCCAGCCAGGAAGCCTAACAGGACCTTTGTGACCCAGTTTTTCATACCCTCGTGCCAGGTCTTAGCTTGACCGCCCTTGGCTTTTTTCTACTCTGTATCTTCTTCGGCGAACATCGTTCGCCGTGGTAACCTATCTGGTGACATGCATAACACATGTCCCAACTAACGTGATCTATGAAGGCCGACCACTTGCTCCAGTGGGTGACCGTATTTACCCAAAACTCTGTCCCTAACCTCAGCATTGCTCATCCGGCCATCCCACCAGATTCGTGCAATGCTGCGTAGACAGCGGTGTTCAGACACCGACAGTCTGTCTTTATCTTGTTTTCTTAATGGCCAAGTTTCTGCACCGTATAGCAGAACTGGCCGAACTGTCGCGGCATACACTCGACCCTTCACAGACAGCCGGATGTCGCGACGGCGCCACAGATGTCTGAAGTTAGCAAATGCCAACCGAGCCTTCTGTATGCGAGCTGACACTTCATCCGTGATGCGTCCACCGGGTGAGATGTAGCTGCCCAGATAACAAAACTTATCCACCTGCTCTATTACTTCCCCAGTTAGAGTGAGGCTGTTCGCTAGACCAACCCAGTCTTGTAGTAACATTTTACACTTTGAAGGTGCAAAATGCATACCGAACCTGGCTACACTGGCATTCAACTTATCCAGAAATGTTTGCAATAACATGGATCTTCACTTAGTAGCACAATGTCGTCTAAAATATAACACCAATTCATTTTATGACCCAGGTATGTGGTTAGTTGATTCTCGACTGTCTTGGTGACCAATGTGCAGTAGATGGAGAGCAATCGATGACGCCGGTGTACTATACGACTGACATTAGGAATGGGTTAATTTCCAAAGCCTTCAATCTCAATCTCGTTTGAGCTTGCTACGGGTTCTACTACCTATCTGCATTGCATCTAAGTTTAAATTTTAAAAATCATTTGTAATTAGGCAAATGTATTTCGAATCTGAGATGTCTGGTGTAAGCCACGGGGATAGTAGCACGGTATGTTGTAATTGGTGTTATGTTAGGGATCTTTTTTATGGAACATTTGACTCAACAGGATGGGACGGACATATTCTACATTTACTACTAACTGTTAAAATACTAGGCTTGCAGATTTTGGTTGTCTGCGATCGCCCGTAAGCGCATTAAAGAGCTGATTCATTGAGACGCTTTTCATCGGTCGGTGTTTCGTCTCCCATCGAACCAGGAGAACTGATAACTGTCTGGCTAGGTCTAAAGCTGACAAATGAACAAACTGGACTGGGTGATTTTCATCGGTCTCGGTGTGAGGTAGTTAACACACTCAGACACACACACATGGCTTTCATGGGACGGGTCCAGAGTTCCACTACCGGACAGTTCAGTGAATGCGTACTGCTAATGAACTCCAAGAATGGAGACATTCGACCAGACATTTTGGTGACCGAGTGTATGATGAAGTGGACTGTACCGAAACACGGTGTCCAGGCAAAAAACAATCAAATCCAGAACCGTGTTGGAATGATTTGCATACTGATCAACAGGCTGCTAAATTGGATCATGTTAGCTTTCATTAGTTTTGGAAAATTGATGTTATTTACGACAGCACGGAGATCAATTCGGGCTATTGCAACAAACGAAAAAAGTTGTTTTCACATATAATTGTGCCACGTAACTGACAGTCTTCATAGTACACTTTTCTTCCGGGATCAAAGTATTGAATGATGTGGGACACCTATACACTTTGGACCATTGTGACAGGTCGATTCCCTCAACTGATGACTGATGACTCACTTGTGGATCGAAACTATCAGTATTTGTAAACATATTGGGCGATCGCGGTTCATACATCCGAAAGGTAGATTCCCGCATCCATCATTGTTGTCCTATAAACCTGTCCACTTGTTAATAATACGCAATAGCGCAGTCAGTGCATATTCACCTAACCACGGATTGCTATCCAAAATTTTCATGGCTCTCTGTCTCTGGTAATACGCTATACTACTACTTATAGGGCAGTAATGCGGACAACATGAGCTATGGATTGGTGAAGTGTTTTCCAAAATCAATCGAAACGCGAGTCCCCCTTTGACTCGCTCAGTAGAATTACCCCTTCCCAGTCATTCCTATTTAGTTCGATTGGTTAGCATGGAGGTCTGGATCGTTGGTGGCCCAGTGGTCATGTCAACAACTTATCACCCCAGGGATGTATGTTCGAATCCCAGCACCACCGACTAGCTTTCTCCGCTGTGTTGAAAGGCAGCCCTTTGATTGGCCGCTTCCTCCTTCCTGAAAATCGTATCTTTGTATATTCAATAAACGGAAGTAAAATGAAAAAAAAATGAAACAAAAGAAAACAAACTACCTAACCTTGTTTTTTCAATGATCTAAAGCTCCATTTTTTTCTCTTTCTCTTCAGTCTCACCAATCCGGAAAACTGGTTTGTTCAAGCGGGAAAAACAAACGTCGATGTAAGTCTGAACGCCTTGCTCCAGCGTGCGACGCGTTTGAGATGATGAACCAAGAAAGTTGCGTTGTCTTTGGATTCCGTTCAGGTGTCCACCTTTAGCTAGTGCATCACAACCCATCAAACAACACGATCCCAGTCGGTTCACACGTGATGAGAACGTAGCTGTGCCAAACTCGCGGGTTACTCATTCGGTAGGGACCTGATATGCCGCTGAAATGCGTTCAGCTTTATCAATTGCTTTTCCACAGTTTCACCACAGCGCACCAGATTCATCGGGTTGAGTGAGGTTGTAGCCTAAACGGTGCACATACCACACACACACACACACACACACATACACATACACATACACAAAACGATGATCAAGTTCGAACAATCCACAGCCCTTCTCCGGACTGATCAGCTCGTGATTATTGATGTAGCTTGTTTGTAGATAATTTTTTTTGATTACCATTTCGAACACCGCATTCGTCCTGACTGGTTTCTTTTCTACTCGACATGCAACATGCATGTCCCATTCACCCTCTCTCTCTCTCTCTCGCGCGCGCGCTGTGTTTATAGTTCCCATATTTCATTTTATTTCGATTGTGATAATAGAGGTTTGGGAAGGAGTTTAACCACGTCATAGATCCTTTACTTCTTGGATTGTTGATGAAACAAATCCCCGTTGGATCATTTTTATTGATCGAGGAGTTTATCTTAGCAAATAGCAAATACTGAAACGTTAGTACAATTGCTCCACGAAGTCATTGTTCTCACTAATGACAACAAACTTCAGCTACCACGTAACGAACTAAGAAGATGAAGTTTCAAATATCAAATTGAACTTGTTCATACAGAAACGAATGCGGGAATGCGGGATGGGAAGAATCTGACATCGAGTATTATAGACTTGTAGGAAATAAAAATTAAATAAGTACTTTGGCTAAAGATTATTGGCCTATATGCTCAGAAGGTACACTTCCCTGGAGAGAAGTGTACAACCGGGTGATCATGACAGATCATGACAGCGCTACTTCATTGCATACTAATAGTTACTCGTCAAACGTCAACTAAATTTCCACACGGATTCAGCACGCACGAATCCTACTTTATGACTTAAAGCGCCCTGACTCGCACAGTCAGAAGTACACATAACATATACTCATCAACCACTTTTTTTTTGTATCTCACGATTGCCGTGGGCAGACAACGGGATCGATTTTGGTGATCAGCCAACAACGAGACAAAGCATGACTAACAATCTGTTTCATTGGAATGTTTGACTACGTTTTTTAATTTCGAAATTTCAAAAATCCATCAAACCCAAGAAGATACTTGACTGGGGGGGGGGTCGATTTGCAAACATTGTTTTTCAATTTTTGTTTCTCCTTCTACTTTCTCGAAAACAGTTTTTAAATTGTTTTTTTAACAAATACATATATATTTTCACATTGCCTGTTTCAGATCGGTGATGTTCGAAAGTATGAACAAAATGAAATACCCATCAAAAAGCCCAGTCTCTTTCATGAATTTTTCGAACGTTTTTTGAAAATGCTCGCAGCGTAAGCTACATTTGTTTTTTTGCAGTTATTCAGCACAGGTGAAAAGAATAAATACTGGTCCATTTTGTTTCTTTTGGAGGTGAATGTGTCATGTTTTCTAAACAGGAGTTGCAAACTTCACTGGTAGTTGATTTTAACAAATGACACTGTGCATATCGGAATTGATTTCTGGGCCTGTTGTTGAACTATTCCAAGTGTGGTGTGAGCTGAGCTGCTTGCAAAACAGTTGCGACATATCAATTGCATCTATCATAGCACTGATGCGTTTAGGAAGATAGTGAACACAACTGCTACTATTCTGTTGGTCAGTATCTTCTCAATCGCACTCAGTGTTCAGTTGATTGGTACAGCGACACCTTTGTTAGTAGAACAGATGATTGCACACTGCTGACGATGTTCCATTAAGCCAGAGTAATGTTTCTCAGTTCCTCCAATTTGTCGGTGCTTTCATTAACACTTTTATTTTATCATACCGATTTCCAGAAGAACTGTTTTAGATTAAATAAGGTATTATAACTGGTCTGCAAACAGTCACTCGTTCACAGAAGCAGACTGTGCTGTTGCAAATGTAACATTTGTCCTATATGGAGAAAGAGATAACTAATTCCTCTGGGTGCACCCTGTTTTCTCATTTTTATTGCCTGATGAACCCTGGTTCATAGATGATCATCCACTAGGCAACTAGTCCCGAATCCCATCACATTGGAATGCCCCGGGTTCCATGCAGTTCTGTCACTTGAAAATACATTCAGAATCTCGGTGCCCGTTGATCAGTTATGATGATCGAGTCGGCAACTCAAGCTCATACTGATATCTATCGATTTTGGATAGAATAAAAATGCTTTGTTATTTGTGGTACTGGGAAGTTTTCTCAGTGGTAAATCATTAACCTAGTTCCTTTCAGTTCAGTTCAGTTTATACAACCATGCACTTTCGTGCACCGATTTTGGTTGTTGTCTCAAAGCTACTCATTTGATCGAACAGTAGGAAAAGACAGAAAAATTTAAAGTAAAGTCGAAAATAAAATGAAGAATTGCAGAATTGCAAAGATAATGAGTAGACGCACGAACGTCACTGTTTACAAAACTCAGTCATCATCACTTCGTGTCTCCAAACATTGATTAAAGCGATCCGGATATCTCCAACCAGGGACCCCAAACGCGACCCGTATGATCCTGTCTCCTGGTTAGGGTTTCCATTGCCTCAAACCGGGTCTTATTTTGTTCACCTTTGGTCTTTTCCACCCACTACCTGCCTCGGGAAATATCGCGTGCCGTGACAATCTGTTTGGTTATTTGCGGAATACATGCCCCAACCAACCTAATCTGTAGAACTCGACCACTTGCTCCGGTAGGCCACCAAGGTTACCTTAAAGCTCTTTTCCTAACCTAGTTAGGTTGGTTACATCATTTAGATTTTGCTTAATTGGTTGACCAGAGCGAGAAATTATGCAAACAACAGTAGCTACATTGTTAGAACTATTTATTTATCACGGGAACGGTAAACCTAAACTGTGGAACTGCAACACGCACCATGTCGATCGATTTGTAGTTCGATCAGGTCAAAATAACGGCAGTTTTGAACTAAATGGGAATGGCGTTGAGGGCATGCAAACTTCTAATCGTGTAGATTGGTATATTCTCAGTGACTGCAAATTCAAACGCACCGAGAACTTTGTAATAAATAACCTATATTATTATTCAATTGCTGTGATAGTGAGTCAGAAAGTAATATCATATATATTTTATAATTACAATATATTACATTATTACATTCGAAATTCACACGGTTTTCAACACTTTCATGAGATTTCTTTCGACGGTGTTACTGATGTGTAAGTGTGTGTGTGTGTGTGTGTGTGTGTGTGTGTGTGTGTGTGTGTGTGCATGTGTGGCAAAGTNTGGCAAAGTTGATAAAACACATGTAATCAGAGTATTTAATTTGTACACGAGTTTAAGAATGTGAAAATATTTTGTTTGCTTTTACATTTTCTTTTGTTTGTTTGTTCTGGTAGCAATACAAAAAGTGCGCAACATCACGGAGTGAAAAATATTTTTCTTCATCCCAACTACAAACCTGGTAAGAACGAGTTACACATAACAAAAAAGGTGTAGTGAAATAATTGAAATGGTTTTATTGAATAATTCTTCAACTCGTCACGCATTCTACATTCTGTTTGTTTTAGCTTTTTGTCAATTCCTCATTCATCACCACAACACAAGCATTGCACCATGCACTATGCACAAACCTGATCCGCGGTACTTGTTGTGATATTGATCAGGATTGATTGTGTCTCTCCCCCCCCTCCACCCACATCTCACCAGCTCCATCCTCACCACCCTCGTCCAAACCACCATCCCCATGCTCATCAACTCCCATCCTCACAGTTCTTGTCATGATCACATTTGCTCGTGTACTCACATGCGCTCACACCTATCGTCAACCACATGAGACCATCGATAATTTTTCCGGGTCAATCATACTCGAATGCGTGGTGAGACCCTGCACACTGTTCAAAAAGGTATCCGGCCATAGATTGAGACAAGTATCAGAATTCTGTACCTGGATGGATGGATGGATGGATGGATGGATGGATGGATGGATGGATGGATGTATTTAGCAGATAAAAGTAGAACAGGATTGAGTTTTTACCATAGTTACTACTGCTCCAAAAGAACTTTTGAACTCGGTATAATTCCGAATACACATGGTAGGAAGCAGTAAGGACACAAAGTTGGATTACGAAAGACTGTGCAACTAGCTGATTCGAGATACTGAACGACAGCAATGGTGTTCTTGTTGTCATTTCTTATCCGGTCCCGGTGCTTGAAACGGTATGTATGGTGTACTCTGATTGTTGACCCTAGTGAACCACTTGTATTTGCCTCCCTCCAAATAGGTTTCATCCCTTTCCAGTTTGTGCCTTTATCACTTGATTTGTGTACATTGTGAGCTGGGCAGCGATCAGTGAACTTTCGCTTCAACATAATGACGATAGGACATGCTGACGTGATACCCTCCGCGAGCACGACAGCTTTGAGCATGAACAAGTTACTATCTGTCCAAATTGCAGTATTGATCAACACATTTCACCGCTTGAACGGCATCTATTTAATCCCCAATCATCAAAGCAATCGATCGCGTGAGTTAAATGAACCAGAAATACAATTTGGTTTATTCCATCCGACGAAGATGTTGTGAAGTTGTGTTGTCTCCTTGTGAAAATAATCATTTTAATACGTCCCTGATAAACTAACTCAGTCGTGAAGAGCAACAGTTTTTTTCGTGTATAAAACTCCGCACATCCGGGTGCACCATGAACTGGCGATTATCACAAAAGCGATTCCATTACTCAATTGGTAAAAACTAATTCTGACCGATAATTTTTTTTAATCAAAACTGTTGTAAATTTCGGTTGTTTCTTTTTTGTTCCGTTTCGGGATCACGTGTGTGTCTATATGTAACAGATGATCTGGAATACGACATTGCATTGCTCCAGTTGTCCAGTCCGTTGGCTGAATCGAATCCCGGTGTGGCTAGAGCATTCCTGCCCGAAGGAGGTTCCACTGATCAATGGCCACCGGTCAATACACTGTGCACATTTGTCGGTTGGGGTTGTCTGGAAAAGGGGTATGGACCGTCTGCCAAAGCACAAGTTGTTGCCCTCAAAGTGATGCCTCATTGGATCTGTTCAGCTATGTATCAACACGCGGCCGGATTGAATGTAGATCATGAGTTCTGTGCTGGTTTCTACGAGTCCAATGTGGGAATTTGTCCGGTGAGTTTTTGTTTTTCCAAAACAAAAGATCACTCTCTAAATTCAGTGTTGCTCCCGATTAGGTAATCACAGTGTATGATCGAGTTGTATTTTGCCTTGAGGAAGAAAGGATTACGCACATCGGAGAGGTTTGGTGAGATTTGCTCAATGAAAGAGATTAAATCCACATTCAATTAGTGTGCATGCCGTACTGAATCGATAAATATTGTTTCGATATACTCAGTTTTGGCCAAAGTATCACTTTCAAATATCTTCGATCGAAAACAGTTGTTCATTCGTTTCGGCATTCATTTATGTTCTTTATTGCTTCATGAAAGAGGCTGGCAGATGATGTGAAGACGAGGCATGAATTCACGCACTGAGCGATTACGTAGAGTTGGTGTCTCTCGTCTCCCCGGGTTGGAATCCAAAAGCCTGCTTAGCACACTGAAGGTTATGGCGGCTAATCGACAACAGTGGTGATCATATTGTCACTTCATATCAGACGGGAATGCTTGAAACGGTGTGTGTGTGTGTGTGTGTGTGCGTGTGTGTACAGTTGAACTGTGTGTAAATCATCGGGTTTCTCTTGCTTTTCCCGTCCCGTCATCACTTACCTTGTATGCAATATGAGTTTCGCAGAGATCAGTGAAGTTCGCTTCACTATACAGCACTGTACAATGATAATGATAATGATAATTCCTTCATTTGACCCGCTGCTTTCAAATCAACTCGGCTCATACCATACAAAATGTGTTGTTTTGATGAACCAGATCGATTGGCGATATCTGACGATCTATATCATGAGTAGCTAATCGATCGCCCAATTTGAAAACAAACACACACGCACACACGCTCCGTCCGATTGGAGCTGAATTATAACGTCCCGTACGACAATCACAAGTTACTGGGATTTTGCTATGCTATACGATAGGGTACTTGATTTTAAGACGCGATAACTTGCAAATATTTCTTTGAGATTAATCGAAATACTTGTCACTATTGCTAGACTAAGACCACTTCTATCAGAAGACCAATCGATATTCCTGTAAAATTTAAGAGTACATGCATTGAGAGGGATAGAGTAGTAATGATAAATTTGAAAATCTACTAAAGTTTTGTCCCGTCTCAGCTACCATTTATTTGGTTTTCTGGGCTCATTGAACACGAAAACCCGGTTCAAAAAGAACGCATTTCATGTAGCAACCAATAAACCACTGGGTAAAAACTATAAAAAGACTAGGTAGCACCACATCTGAGTTTTAGGCATTCATCATTCATCAAGTAAGCAAACGTGTGTTCCATAATGGAATTCGTAGAAGTGAATGATTCTCGGACCACAATTACTTTTTATTACACATCTAAACGTGACAAACAGCAGACGCGGTGAACCTTATAGGCACGATGACCTGCTGTTCAGTGATGGAAACCGGACACCTAAGCCCCGGGACTTGGAGTAGCGAACCATATAAAGCACCGATAGGTTAGGTGTGGTATTGAACCAGATGACAGCAGAGCTGCGTACCATCAAAGTGATGGGAGATGGTGGAGATGGGCTCGAACCTCGGACCTCAGGGTCCAAAGCACTCCGGTGAGAGCGAATAAACCACTGCGTCACCCACAATTTACCTTGCTAATAGCACAAACCGGCTTTCTGAAGAGCAAAAATGATTGTTCACCGAATAATCTGCAAATGAGGAACAAACATGATAATCACAGTCAATGCGCGGGATAAATTAGAACTACGAGTTTCATGTGTGTGTCCAGGTTGGAAATCATTCATTCATTTCTCGCCTGGTAAAAATCGTCTGTACATGCAGTGCTAACAAATAAGTAGATGTGATTAGAAGAATTTGTTTATTTACAATCGAATGAATGCATTTGGTTGTGAGATGTGCAGTATTCGTATGAGATCTTCGATAAAAATACCATGACTGTTTTTAAATAATCGTCGAATTTTCGAACATGAATAAAACGCAAGCGCATGTTCCAGAGCGAACATGCATTCCGGATTCGTTTTTCCTTTTCGAGGAACCACGCACTCTAGTAGCACATACTTATGAGAAGTTTATCTCAATGGCTAACTGTCAAATAAACCGCCAACATTTTTCGACGGTGAGTTCTGCATTGGAATGAGTTTGGTTGAAGTTCGGAAAAGAAAATCATCAACTGAATGATTGCTACAGGGATAGTACTAAGAGAGAGAGAGAGAGAACTTTTGGGCGTTGTTCTTTAAGTCAGCTGACAATTTGGATCGCGCGATTAGAGGATTATTGTGGTGTTTTAATTGAGTGAAGTTTTGGTTGCATGTGCTTACATCCTCATCGATTGATTGACTGATCGATGCTGACCACTACCACACACACACACACACAATACGGACATCATCCTATCTCATATCGATCTACTCCGATCAATTAAAAATCACTATTGATCTGTTTGTGCTAAGTGGCACATTGCCAACTTGAACGTTCTGCTTTATCATATCCCAATTACACAAAACGTGTAAGTTTGTCGTTTTCAGTTTACGTAACGACCAGTGTATCCGTATGTTTCATGAGGTATTTACTCGTAAGTGAATATCAGAAGTTCCTGTTATAGTACATTTTTTCTAGCATTGTATGATGATGGTCGTAGTTTTGACAATAGTGACCACATGTCTTGTTGATTGAACGGTTCTAATGATATTATCGATTCAATGAAATTTTGAACTTTTTAAGAACCTCTACAACTTGTCATACTAATGGAATTTTATCCAATAATTCTACCAGTCACATGCATTTCACTTTCTCTTCTTGGTCGATTCGTGACTCATTTTTACGCTTCAGGGTGACAGCGGAAGTGGCTTGATATATTTGGATCACAAAAAACCGGTGGTAGTTGGCGTTGCTTCGGCCACGCACGCAACGAAACCAGAAGCATTTCCGGGTCTATTCACTCGTGTATCGTCTTTCAATGATTGGATTAAGAAGACCATAGAAGAGAATAACTGATTGCTTCTAATTCGGTCTTACAAATTATAATAAAAAAAATTCGACAGACAGCAAATGCAAATGATTTGTTGGTTATTTACATTATGGATTTCACACTTGTCGGAAAGTGATACGTACACAACGGCATGTTATTCAGGGTTACTTCCTAAATGAGATCAAGCATGCAGGATATTCAGAAAATTTGAGTATTCCAAAACATCTGGGCGAATTAGTGACAGGAGCTCGTATTTTGAGGAGCTACCGTCAAAATTGTAAATTGCGGAAGGGCCGAACACTTCATTAGGTGGGTAGAAAACTGGACTAGATGCGAAACAAGGAAAATCGTTTCAAGCAATCGATCTCGTGTCAAGTGATATTGCACATGTGAATCTGTGGTTCGAACACACAATTCGGCTAGGCTGAACAATCAGTGAAATGAAATCATCTTCTTTTTTTTGTAAATTCAATAACACAAGATCAAAGAAACAACTACCTCGTGGGGAGCATGACACGATACGAAAGCCTAGGAAGCATCATTAATATACTATGTCGAGCGAGAGTGTGGGACTCGTTGCTTATGCGATTCAGAAAAAGGAGTCGAGTTTCCATTCGGAATCAGCTAGTGAACTGTTCCGACGCAGTTGAGTTAGTTGATTGGGACTAATCAAACGAGTGTAAATCATCGGCTGAACCGATACTATCTGAGCAGTGTTCAATTTAGTTCAGTCAAGAAAACGAGTCGGCGAGCGAACAATTGTTTTCGGATATTCCTAGTCATGCTCTTACATATCATATGGTGGAACAAATTCTTACATAATGATAGCCATTGGCTTAATTGAAGATAATTAATATGAAGCAGAGAGTAATGGAAGTCGTAAAATTGTCCCATAGACAATGTAGAAAACGGTATTCGCGAAGAAATTTCTTTTCGATCTATCGCATCAGGCGTTTGCATAGACAAGGTGATCATCGTACAGATTGACCGATTAGAGAGCTCAGTTAGTAACGATGACAGAGGCGAGCAAACAGATCAAAAGAATATGACAAGGCCGCAGTGATAGTCGTGGGTGGGGGTGGGATGTGAGAACACAAAGGTTAGATGGAGTGTACCGGACTGTTGTCCAGTGGTTGAGTGACTCGTAGATACGAATCCAAGTCCGATTCCAGATAACGAGAAGTCGGTAATCTACGTGTACTATAAACAGACAAATATGTACAAAAACAAACACCATACCTCAAATTGTGGGCCAATCCGGTCTCCACAGTACAAGAACGAAATACAATGCAGGTCAAGAGGCAGAACATAGCATCTGCGGAGCGGTCATCAAAAGGAATGCAAACTCGGCTTAGAAAAGGGACGATTTAAGGGACAGAAACACCAATCGCAAGTGTTCGATAAAGAGGCGCAGCCATTGGTCAATGCAAGACACAAACGGTTCACAGGATCCTATGGAACAAAGCAGTCCGCTAAGCAAGTGAAGCGAATGACCAAGTATAAAGGTCAGCGTAAAGAGGATGGGATGACAATGTACTGGAACGAAAACGTGGTTGGAGGAACGGATCCGGGGNTACACGCACGCATACACTTCCATTACTTTTCGATCTATCGCATCAGGCGTTTACATAGACAAGGTGATCATCGTACAGATTGACCGATTAGAGAGCTCAGTTAGTAACGATGACAGAGGCGAGCAAACGGATCAAAAGAATATGACAAGGCCGCAGTGATAGTCGTGGGTGGGGGTGGGATGTGAGAACACAAAGGTCAAATGGACAAACGTTCGCGAGATGAGCAGATTAAATGAAGGTTGTGAGCTAGGACGAGAGAGCGGGCTGAAGTTACGTGATATGCGGTAGAAATTATAGATCATGCATAGCATCCCCGTCCCTCGTTCCTCATCTATAGTATCACCGACCTCAATCTTAAGAACTAATTGTATTGTTTTTGTCTCTAATGTCCCGTCCTGATCACATCACTTGCTATGCATGACCTATAATTTCTACCGTACATTACGTAACTTCATTCCGCTCTCTCTTCCTAGCTCACAACCTTCATCTAATCTGTTGATCTCTCAAACATTCTCCATGTATCGACTTGATTGGAAAAATTAATCACGCCACAGACTTTGCTCCGGTTCGGTTCGACTAACTGTGCACCCATGTAACCCATTACACAGGTGACCTTTGACATTTACCCATCATCATGCCCCGATTTGGTCCGACGGCATACTTCGTACTTTGTTATTATTGTTCTCATACCGCCTCTAAACGTTCCTTGTCCCACTCATTTGTGCGTCCCTTACCCTTATCGCCCTTGAACACTCTCTGGTCCACGCTTGCCATTCCCGGGCGTCATTACATACGAACTACCCCGGATCCGTTCCTCCAACCACGTTTTCGTTCCAGTACATTGTCATCCCATCCTCTTTACGCTGACCTTTA